CATTTACTCCTATAACCTACAAGATAGGCAAATACACAAACACCCATTTGCCATTTTGAAACTATATACACGCACCAGTTTGAACCTCTTCCTCATGCACAGAAACTCTGAATATAAGGAACTAATATTCACAGGGAACAGGGATGCCATCAGAATTCATCTGTCTCCACACTAAAACCAGAGAAGTGGTTCTGGGCCAGAAGCAATCAGTCTGGCATCCCATCTTTTATACAAGGAGTTGCCATCACCAGAACTGGCTGATTCAGCTAAGCAGATAAAGCAGGAAAAGTGTACATATGAACAACTCAAATTCAATACTCCTTAAGCTAAAGTACTTCAAAATCAACCACAAAGACATGTTACAAGCTACACACTAACTCTAGGGAAAAAATAATCCATTGGTTACATAGTGATTTAGTCACTCCTGCAGTTATACTAGTATTTGTACAACTAAATTGATCTTTACATCTCTACTAAATTAAAAATAACTACTTTGATAATAAAAATACCCAAACATTTTAAAAATGTATACTAGTAAAACTCTTCTTTCCTGAAAAAAATATAACACAATTATCAGGAAATTTAAAGTTATCCTGCTTCTACCCCCTCTTGAAATCCACAGCTAAACAATGGGTCATTTCAGATAGTAGTTCATAAGAATGTTCAGCTTGAAATAATTAGCCATAGAGTTTGCATAGTTTCAAATATTACAATCAACAGTTTTCCTAGTGAATGCTTATTAGAATTTACAGGAAAACCACCACATTTCACCTCATCAGAAATTTACACCTGTGAAATAATTGACTCTTCAGCATAACAACAATAGCCTGTCAAATACAGAAGTTATTTCTGATTGAAGCAAGGATAATAAAATATTTTTGTCTTTTGAGAGCATCACCAGCTGTCACCTTCCCCAAACATCTGAGCCTAAGCACCACTGAGGACAGAAGTGGCAAAGCTTCACACCATGACAGCAGCAATCTATAAAAATCCATAGACTGCTACCTGTTTATATAAAGTTTCAGTAAAACTTCTCTCTGCTGAACTATGAGAGTTCCCCTCTCACAGATTTCCCAACAAACCACACAACGATGACACATTTGAAAATGGCAATTGTTTTTTTTTAACTGCATTAATGGTTTTTAAGTGTTTAGAAAGAAATGTTTACATGCAACTAGCTTACTAGATTTGGGAAGGAAAACTGAGAAGTGGAAATAGAAAAGAGGAACAGTCCAGTTTAGAGCTGGGGTGATTCTACTGCGTCACAAATTCAAGTGTAACAGTCTGCAGAGGACACAACTGGTTAATGGCATCCATTAATGTAGCAGACCTGGAAGAGCAGCTCAAGAGAAGCCACAAATATTACAACAAGAAACCAAAGAATGATTTTTTGCCTGCAGCAGGTGATTTAACACAGGCATCAGCAAAGGTTGGGAACTTCTCCTTACTGATTTCCATCCTCCTGTTGTAACACAACTAGATTAACATGTATTACTTTTGAGTTTCTGCCCCTTAGTAATTGCCAGCACCAATTACCATACCAAGAGTCACTGACTGATTGCATTATAATGAGAGCAGTGGAAAGAGAAGGGTTTAAAACTACTGGTTTAAAGGACAGTAACTACCAGTATTTAAGGATACATAAATATTTGTAAAACCAGTAAGAATTCCTGGAATAACACGTGCAAGTATAACATCATGGCATGCTCAAGACAGCAACCAACCACGCTAGAAAGCAGGAGGTTATCAAGGTAACTGACACCAGAAAGCAGCCTCTGATTTGCCTACAACCAAACGCTTTCCAAAGTGTTCAAAGTCCAGTTGTATTCTTTTTAACTAGAATGGCTAAAATCCAAGACGTTCTGTAGGCACCAGCCCCCATTCCTAACTGCACATGACTGCCCTAAGTAGGACAGGTAGCACTACAGGCTCTATGTTGGTTCACTGCACCCTCCAGGAGTCAGTAATTAGCAACTCCCTAGCAAGACCGAGAAAAAAACAAACAAATCCACGTTCTCCAGAAGGAACTAAAAGAGTTAAACAACACACTCTGATTCCTACACGGCAGTGACAACTCAGCACGTCCTCACAAGGCAGCACTCTGACTCTCCAGGGTTTTAAATCAAAGTCCAGAGTGGTATCAGAATAGCCTGTATGTAATTCTTAAGCACGTGAGGGAATGGGACAGTCAGAAACAACATTAAAAATGCACCAGTGACAGAAGGAAGTCCTTCAAGTCCTATTAAATAAAGGACCTAGATACAACCTCACACTTGGGCTAAGTCAAAGAAATGCCAGAAATTGGGAAAGCACACTGGAGAGCAAGGGCTGCTCTGGTGTCTTTCTCAAAGTGAGCAAGCACCAGGAGATGCTTCAGGAAAGCACTAAGCTAGACTCATCTTCCCCTCACATAACCCAACTCTTCAGTCCATTAAATAGATAAAAAGCCAACACAGCACCACAGAGATCACAAAAATCACCAAAAAGACATCTTCCTTTCAACATGCCCATACCTGTGGCAGTGCAGTGTTGAGCTGCCTCTGCAAGGAATCCCTCTCATGCCCAACTTCGTGCAGCTTGCCCTGGGTCAGCGCTAGCGTCTCCTGAGTCTCTCTGAGCGTCTCCAGAAGGCGATCCCTTTCTTCCAGCATGGACACCATCAACTGCTCAAAATGGGAATCAGCATCTGACTGCAACGGGGAACCTGAGCCATGGCCTCCATTTCCCCCCGAGGGAATCTCTGCCTCGCTGATGGTTGGCATCACCTCACACATCATCTTGAAACAAAGCAAGACAAAACGAAGGGGATAAATTTAAGTCACACAAATCAGAATAAACAAAGGAACTTTGGCTACTGCCTGCAACACCAACTTTGCTTTCCCAACGACAGCATCAGCAGGACTTGCCAACCCCTTAGTGCTGGCCAGTATTTCACCCAGGCTGCAGGAGAAAAGGTATACAACCAATTTAATCAGGGCATCACCTCATAATGAGAATCTTGTGACTTCTTGCAAAACCGGATTTTTACAGCTACAATTCACACTGTGATCTCATTTTAATGGGTTTGTGTTTTTGTTAAGAGTAAAGTGCTGCTGAGATCTTTAAAAAAAAAAACAAAAAAAAAAGGCATGCAGCACCAAAAATTACATACTTAAACCAGCAACAGGCAACACTGCATATTTTGAGAATATTCATGTGTTTCTTCTAACACCTGCAACATAGATAGCATCTAGAACAGTACTTAGAACTTATACTGGCTATAGAAATTCTGCAGTAAAAGTGATGGACCTAAATTCGTGGTAAATTCAAATAGTCCAATTCAGGAGATACACGTGTAAAAAGGAAGCTAAAAAGCAAAAAAATTCTTTACAAAGTGGTAGCAGCTGCCATTGCATATCACAAAAATAAAGGTAATAAAAAAAAATTAAAGGCAGAATATTACTACAGTTAACAATGTAAATATAAGTACTGTGCGACTGCTAAGCTTTAAAGAGACCCCAACAGATGCTGACAAGAGGCCAAGGCATCACGTTTTTAAGAAGCATGAGAAAAAAAAAAAAAAAGAAATCGCTAATTCCTGCACACTCTGACTGAACCACTAAGACTTCTGAAGCTCTTCAGGCAGCCTCTCAGCATCACAAACCTCCCAGAACCTAAGGCAAATGAGGAAAAAAAAAAATCATTCTCAATCTCTGAGGTACGAAAAAGTTTTGTTTGCAGCCTTAAACTTCACAGTTCCTAGCTGAACCTTTTAAACAATTAAACTTATTCTAAGCCTTACTGTGGGACCTCTCAATCCATTGAAAGACTTGGAACAGTGCTTTGTAACATTTTCATGCATCGTTACTGCAAGCCCTCTATTTTCAACACCATCAAGTTATTTACCTTGCTCAAGAAAACAAAAAAGCTTGGAAAATAGGCCCCAGGTTTCCTGTAGTACCAGTTCTTCGGTTTTTAGTAGCTTTCTGTTATCCCCAAGAACCTTTCAGATTGCAAGGCATCCATTCAGTTCTAGTTCAATGTCTATTTAAATGAAACAGCCCCGTGCACGTGAAAACAAATAAATCTGCCGAGAAACAAGCAGATCCAGTAAAAAGCAGCAGCAGCTTCAGCTAACCAGAACAGAAGAATGTGAAAACAAACTGTCTCAGCTTCCCATCCCTCTATTACTGGCCCATAGGTCCTGCAATAGCTGGGACAGGGGAATCATGTGCTGAGGGAAAAAAAAAAAAAGAAAAACAAAAAACCGTAGTCTGATGCAGTGGTGCAACAAGTTTCAATAGTTCATCGCTCACAAATTCCACTCAGGTCACAATCGCATTATGAAGCAGAGTACAGACAGCATGGGAAAACGGCCCGAGTTTTCTCGTAAAGGATTTAGAAAAGCCTCCCTTCTTTTCACTTCTATTAACTCCAACAGGAGGCTCTCCTTCCAGTTTCCTGGGCCTTAGTTCAAACATTTATAATCCCAAGAGCAAGGCGCTGGTATGGCTTGGGAAGGCGAGAAGGGAGACCTGTTGTTTCCTCTACGGGAGTCCTCCACCCGTGCGCGGCCCGGCCGGTCCCACCGACGATGCTCCAAAACCGAGTTATCCAGCCAAGAAGGGGTGAAAGAACCTCGCCGAGAATGAAGGTAGCGCCTGGGAACCACGCACGGGGCAGGAAGGCCCCGAGGAGACCGAGGCACCGGGAGCTCGCCGC